GGGGAATGCTTTGGATATATTTTTTCCCCTGGTAAATGAAATCATTCAAAACAACTTTTAATTTTTACCTAACTCAAAATATTCTAATTTGAAAGATTTAAGTACGACAAGAAAAAGCAAATGTAGAAGAAATTCCTAATGTGGAGAAATGTGTTTTCGACAGGCTTGTTTATCAGATTTTTATCTGAAAGTGAGAGCAGCGGCAGATCCATTCAGCGATGCTGCAGCTTTGATCCCTTTTCATCCTCTGGGGCTTTCCTCTTGCATGTCTGTCAGCACCGTTTACTGCTACAGGTTCCAGTTTAATAAAAAAACCCTGACAGTTTAATGCAGAACTAGATAAGCTCCTTTAAAGAAAATTGACACTGGATTTATTTCATTTCCATGCCAAAACGAATAAGATCAGATTTCAATAAAGGAGGCAACGAGCTAAGGCAGCATCCTTCATCTTAATGCTTCCACTCTGAGGAAATTGGTTTTGTAGGGAAAGGTTCATGGGGAAATCTTAGGTTAATCTCCCCTTTCTTCATTTAACGTTGTCTTTCATAAGAAGATTGGCTTTAAGAATTCTTTCTTTCTAGCAGAAACGGTGTGGGTTAAACTGAGAATACCTCATTTATTCCTGAGCAGTGTTGCTGAATCTGTTTACAGAAACAGCAGCACCAGCATATTCGTGTTTCAAAGATGACTGGCTGGAATATGAAATGACTTTGACAGGTAAAATGTGACCCTTACAGAGAGCGTATGAAAGCATGCTGCAGAGCAGTCATGAGATTACAAGAGAAATCATGTTTTTTTTTTTGTCAGCTGAAGAAAAGTTTCATAGCAACTAGAACTCTAACGTCCGAAGATGCTCAGTGGTCAAACCGATCGCTCGTCACACGCTGGCAGGCATGACTGTAGGTCCTCACTGGCAGAATCAATTAGAGGAGGTTGCTAGGATACTGGGCCGGGATGTAGCCAGGGCTGATGTGATGTGGCAGCAGTAAATACCTGCTCACCAGATGTGATGTGGAGTCTGGACATGCTGCTCAGCTGGGAGCTCGGCAAGGCGCTCGTCCTGCAGCTCTGCAAACCCACCCACATGTAAACACACACGATGCATTTACTGAGTCATATGGTTGTGAAGGAGGTGGGTGTGGGTTTGATGATGAAGGTCTCCGCAGCAGCTTGGTAAACCTTATAATGATCCCGGGAAGTGGTTAACATCAGCCTCGGCTGATAAAGTTCAGCATGTCCCGAATGGTTGGTTGTTGTGAGGGTTCTGTGCATCGCTGCAGAAACTTAAAAGGGTGAATGGAGAATGAATGAATTACAACGGGTTGGATTCTCATAAATATTTACAGGTTCTTATTGCAGCACACTGCTCTTTCTTTATGCCTTGAATTGGATGCAAAGTTCACCTGAGCTAAACTTTGACACATTCCATGTATCAGAATTAGCTTCCTCTAAGATGACGTGTTTTTGTTTTGCACCTGTTCATGCAGAGCTGATAGTGTTATTCTCACATATGACAGACGCTCAGCAGATGATTCATTGTAGGGGGCCAGTGCTAATTGTTATATTATTATTTTTTCATTTACGTCACGGTTTTTAATTCAGTACTTTTCCAGTTTCAGAAATCCAAAACCAAAAAGTTGAGCAAAAATGAATGTTAAAACCCAGGCATCACCCTAGCCTTACAGCTCAGCCATAATTTACAGCTGAGGCAATATTTAAACTTTTACAGACATAGAAGGTTTGGCTTTATTTTATTCACTGTTTTGACATAAGCATAGATCATGCTTTTGCTCTTTCTACATTTGTTTCGGTTTTAAATTGATAATAAAACCTTTATTTTAAATCTTGAAATGATTTCAAATGTCATAATCCTTGTTTGAGACACAACCTTGGTATCAGAACATTGATGTTTTTGTCTACTTTCACTTAATGTTTCTTTACTTTCCATTTAACTTGTGCTGATTTGTCAAACTGCCCTAAAGTGCAAAAAATGCACTCTTTAAATCCCCAAATTTTCTTTTTATCATAAAAAAGGTTATTCATTATCTAATATATCGAATCAATATTATACTTAGAATTATTATTACATGTCTGGAGATAATTATACCTGCAGGTGTTTATTTCAGGTTTTATCTGAAGTCCCTAGTGTGGTCAAAGGTTCCACCCAGATTAAAAACAAACTTATTATGATTTCTATTCATGTATTTTAACATGAAATATTTAGCTCAGATGAGCCTTTGTTGCTGTTTAAACTGTATGATGCAGGTAAGATGTTTTGGTTATTACTTGTAAGAATGATTTTGTGGATCTTTGGCCCTTACAGAAGGTGTAACACTAGCCTGCCTTAATTTTACACACATTATAAACTTTGCCCACAAGAATTCCTAATGGAAAAGGTCTTTACCTTCAGGCTATTCTGTAGCTAATTTGGTTGTATGATATTTTGAGACATCATCCAACTGGAAGACAGTTAATCCAGTTTTAATTGCACTTTTTAAAGTGGCAGCACATTGGAGTAGTAATTCTAGCTTGAGACTGTTATTACTTTTTAAAGGTACTTCAGTTCTTTTGTTTGTGGATCAGTTTCTTTTTCATTATGTTTATTACCTCTGCTTTGGATGGTGTGTAGCTAAAGGTGTTTTTGCCAAACACATTTATGAAGAGAAACCATAGCAAACACAGCTATTTTTTTTGTACACCCCCAGAAGAGCTTACTCATAAATTAAAAGCTAAATCAATGGTTCAACAATTTCCGCAAGCCCCAGTTGAATTGAAAAGGTGCAGAGGATGCAGACCAGGAACAAGGAGAAGAGAGAGGGGGAAGACATTTAAACCATCTCTTCCAGAAAATCGTTATGGGCAATGTAGGAATTTCAGGAAACAAGTTAGAAGATAATCTAAGGAGCCTGGCAGAAATCAGGGATGTGGTAATATGTGTTTCACTGAAACATGGCTGCAGGATCATATCCCCATTTCCAGTGTCTCTCTGCCAGGCTTTTAGACCATATGGACAGACAGATTTAAATAAGACTGGAAAACTGCCGGCAGTGCTCTAAACAACATGTGGTCCAGGGCATGTTACTGTTAAATTTCATCACTGCATCCCAGATAATGAACTGTTGGCAGTTAGTTTCCCTCCATATTATTTACCCAGAGAGTTCACCAGTGTTTTAATTGTTTAGATTCCATTTTCTGATGCTTTCAATGGCTGTGTCCAAACATCCCCCCCAACCCTAAATCACTATACAGAGCGGAGACTATATAGAGGACTTTATAGTGAACTCAGTTAACTGACCATTCGAACTGATGATCACTACTTTTCACTCCCCGTTGTTCACGTAACTCCTCCTCCACCGCGTGGTGCCTGCGCCATCTTTGTTATTTGTAGCCGCTGTGGCAGCGGCCAAATCCCAAAATACTTTGTGAGGAGAGCCCTCACAAAGAATTTCTGGATATATCTGCTGTCTAGTGACCATGGATGTTCACTTTTTTTCAAGATGCATTGTGGGAAATTTCAAGTCCAATACTTTTTTATCCACTAGACGTTCAGACACTTATTAAAAGTAGTGCCCTATATAGGGATCAGGGCAGACATTCGGACACAGCCTATGTATGTTATGCCATCGGTTCTGTTGTTGCTAAGCTACAGACACAACATCCAACTGCATTTCAGGCAATAACTGGTTTATTCCTCACTCTCTGCTTCACTTCCAACATTTCAACAGCTTCAATGCTGCTGTACCAGAGAAAACAAAACTTTGGACTTGTTGGACATGCAAATGTCAGTTACTCACATACTATATCTCTATAGTAAGACCTCATTTTAGGAAGGAATAAGAGGCAACCTGCATTAAAGTGATCGGTAAGATATTAGCCAAAGGAAGCTAAAGAAACCCTGTAAGTTTGTTATGAGGCTACAGACTGGGATGTACTGTGTCAGCCAATATGTCACTTTATTTAAAGGCAGTAGAAATAAAATAATGACTTCATTAAGTCTAATTACTTTTGGGCATATCGCAAATATTACTACACTTTGGAATCCTGCCTCACCTTAAAGGGAAACTTTGGATTTATTCTCCATTTTTTTCATAAAAAATGAGTGATAATTTATTGAAGAGCCTGAATCTCATCTGATGCTTTAAACAGTTTATTGCAGCATTACGAGGCTCTCACTTTTACTCAAAGTTTTTCCAGGATTCCCACAGATATTAAACCACCCACCAACCTACCTCTGCTTCAGCGTCACAGAGACAATACTCTGACATTTACCGCTTAGCCTCTGAAGTACTCTGAGTGGGTGTCGTCGTGAGCTCCACTCACCAAGATGAGAGACCGATTAGATGTTGAAATGGTGAATAAATCAGCAGCCAAGCATGAAGCATTCCTCAGAATCCCTCTGCTGAAACTTATTTTGAGGCCTCAGCGTTTCACGGTCCTGTCATACTGAATGAAGTCATTATTTAATTTCTACTGCCTTTAAATAGTGATATTTTTCTGGGTTTAGAGAATCAGACACAGCATAATTGGGCCTGTTCTAGTTTTTGATCAAATAAAGGCTGTGATGTTCTAAACAGAGGGGTGATCTTATTATTTTATGCTCTTAAAACAGAAATCCAGACAGATAAGGATGAAAGTCTTACTCTCCAGAAAGCCAAGCTGACAACTATTGGCGTCCAGGCTCATGAAGTTGAAGCCGCGGGTGGGCCGGCACCGGCCCCTTTTAGCTGCGGACTCCCCAGGGTTCAAACCCTGCAGCATGCTGCTCTTTCCGGCTCCATCCAGGCCCAGAACCAGAACTTGCCGCTTCTCCTGCTCCTCCTCCTCCTGCAGCAGAGCAAATCGAGTCAAAAAATCAGACAAAGCATGATGCTGAGTAAATGGAATACATTTATAATGCATTTTTCTAGTCCCTCCAGCTTCTGAAAGTGCTTTATACTGAAGACATATTCAATCAATCGCTCTCAGGAAAGTAAACACATTTATGCAACCATCTACACTTATGTAAGGCCGCTGGGTTACGTGCCTTGCTCCGGGGCACATCAACATGACAGGAGGAATTAGGAACTAAACCAATAACTTTCAGATCTCAAGAAGAGAACTTTTCCCACTGAGACCCAACTCTGTAAAACCTGAGCGTGGGAATTAATAGTTAGGTTAGGTTAAAAAACCTTAACCTTGATTGTTTGAATATTTAAGGTCCTTTTTTCCTTTTATTTTAATCAAGTCCTGTCTGGCAGCAGTGACTATGTTAAGATTCCACTAATTCTGAAAATTCAAAGTTTCGCAATTACTGTATTTCCATTAGATAAGAAATATGATAAACATTGCATGAGAATGTTTGTTCATACCCAAATGTTTTCAATAAGTTTGACAACAACATAGCAGCAGCAGCAGATGTAAACACATGAAATATATATATTAGGGATGGAACGGTTTATGAAAACCATCCGAACCGTTCGGTTCGACTGTCTCGGTTCGGTTCGCGTGTGTTGCGTTCGGTTCATGC